CCATAGTGTGACCATTCAAATGAAAGCTATTGAGCAGTACTTTCATGTGGTACATTATTATGCTGAACAAAGTTGTTCTCACTTTTAAGTCTGTGGATGAGTCCATAGTGTGACCATTCAAATGAAAGCTGTTTATAGGAGCACATTCATGTGGTTCTGTTTGTTTTTCACTAAGTTTCAAAGAAACGATATTTGTAAACTTCTGAACTTATCACTTCAACTGGTTCTTACCTGGACTTGAGCTTCTGATAAACCAGTGCTGCTAGACATTTCAGATCTCGCCGCTACATCAGGGTAGTGGTTAAGGAGGAACACTCTTTCCATCTGGTAGATCTGTGACTTGTCAAATGTGGCTCGGTAGCGCTTCTCGCTGTCCTCTCCTGTGTTCTTCTTCGCTCTCTTTGAAGGCCTTTCTTTGTCCGATTTCTTCGGTGTGTTCTTGCTGTTAGTTCCTTCTCTGTCTGTTGATCAAATCAGGATGTTTAGTCTTTCAGTCAAAAGCTCGACGTAGAGCGGTTTTCAATTGAGTGTCGTAAAACCAAAGCAATTACAACAGTGGCCAATCAGGGAGGAAATTAATGAAAAAAATGGAAAAGACAGAGCGAATTATGGAAAAGATCGAAAAAATAAGCCAGGAGGCAGTGAACTGTTATTTATAGTAGGATTCGTTTTCCAGCAACAAACAATAATTCAAAACAAAAACCAACATTTCTAAATTCCAATTCGATCTGGATCCGATGGCCACAGGTTTGTCAGTCACAAGACTGTTTAGTGTTACCCTCGTTAAACAAAGTCGATTTATTATATTTATTTCATGCAACAAAACCAGCCTTGTTTCAAACTACTAACATTAAAACGCTTACAGGTTCTTTTATGAGCTGATAACAAATGTATTTAGCTGCTGGCATTCTGTAGTTGTTCACCTCTCGATTTCCGTCTTTGGAATGTTGTTGAAAATATTCCCGCGAGATTACTTAACGGTAATTAGTCCCGCCCAACTTATGAGCTAATATTTGAAAGAAGCAAGACCAAAGAGATCATTTCAACCTGGCCTAGCCCAAAATAATTGTTTTGAAAGTTATGTCAACTTTAAATCAAAATTTTATTTCGTCGGCTAATCCTTTGATACAAACCGAATTGTTTCTACCGATTTGCAGAAAATCTGTTCATATTACAGTAACATACTGCATTTTATAGCGCTAATTTAGCGATTTACGCAAAGTTTGACTTGCCATCTCCTTTTAACAAACGCTTTCTGAGAAATGTTGTAAAAACAGACAAAGAATAAATTGCTTGGGATGAAGGGAGCCGAACATAAAGAGTGTATCAAAACTGTAAATTTCTAAAGTTACCTCGAAATAAATTCAGTAAAATTTAGTTTCTACCTGCACAAAAGAGAAACGAGTTGGGGGCAATAACACACGTTGATTTTTCAATACTCTCTGAGATATTGAGTCTATTGTTTAGATAATTTTCTTGGCAATATGTCGCATGAATCGGTCTTGCTTTCTTTCATTTCATAAACAGTTTGTTCTGTAATAAAATCAGATTTAGTCTACTCTTTCATCAGAGTAGCCTGCGTCGCAGACGGACTTGACCTCCGGTAATGTCCGTCTGCGAATTAGTGCACAAATCCTTGTTCTAGACCCCAACGACGTACCAGGATCTGAGTACTTGTCTGTGATTGGCCTTTACATAAAGCTATTGTTCAATTAGCAATGATTTGGTTGTGATTGGCTAAGGAAATTTCACGCGAGCTAGGACCGGAAGCTAGCGGAAAGCGAGCCTAAAAATAGTACAGTATTAAAAAAATCACTGAAGATATAATGCAGCTTTCGAAGCGGTTAGAGAAAGCTCAGTTTGAATTAACGGAGCTACTCCCAGAACAACGAGAAGCGATCAAATCTTTCTTCCAGGGGAAAACGTGTTTATCAATTTATCCACAGGTTTTGGAAAGTCGTTGATCTTTCAGTGTCTCCCGATTGTCGCAGTCGCTGATATATGATCGAGTGTTATTGTTGTGATTTCACCTTTACGATCGCTGATGGAGGACCAAGTTTATATATTTCAACAATATGGGTATACTGGCGATTGCATGCTATCACGGACTTGGAAGACCCAGAAACTATTCAGCAGGTTTTAAATGGGAACTACCTTGTTCGGTTTGCCGAGTGTTTGTTGTCTAAACTAACGCGTTGTAAATATCTGTTTGCCCGACAGGAGACCAAACGTGACCTCTTAAAATTTGCTAGAGTGAACACAGTCGATGGCTCTATAGCTATTCTACTTCAAAATCCTCCTCATAATACAACATATCTTGCCCGTTAGAAACACTCTTGAAGGTCAGTAGGAAAGTAGGAAAGTAGGTCAGAGGCCCGAATTCAATAGAGAACGGCAAATGTCACGAACTTCGAACAGGCCTGTCACCCCTTTTACCATAGCCAATCAGAATAAAGGGGATTTCGAAAGGCCCTTCCGGTATTTCGTTACGTCGTTGGGGGTCTAGAACAAGGATTTGTGCACTAATTCGCAGACGGACATTACCGGCGGTCAAGTCCGTCTGCGACGCAGGCTATCATCAGAGTAGCAATACGTACAGTTTGAGACAATAGAAAAATTCGTGAGAACGCTATTAAACTGTCTAAATCACGAGTTAATCGAGTTATATTCTACTGAAACACAAATAAAACCGAGCTGTACAAAGTTAACTCAATGCTTTCTCTAAATTCATTACACAGAAAATCACGGTTAGTTTGTTTGCATTCAAAATTAGTCGCGTTTTTCTATCGATATTCTCTTGACATTGACAAATTTTATGCTGTTGTCTTTTCGTAACCTATTGTCTCTACTTCAGTAGCTCAAACCGAAGAAAATGTTTCTTTATACTGAAAAAAGTACGATAAACCGTAGAAAATGGTTTCTGTTACAATTTATTCACGTGGCGGAGAAATAATTTTCTTCAGTCTCAGATATTTTAAAGGAAACCCGTTTAGTGCTTTCATGGAATTGCACATTTCTTTACGAAGCCAACATAATTCAATCCTTTTAATTTTCCGCGTTGCGGCAAAGCATACATTGAAACAACGAAAAGCGATCAAGAAATGGGTCGAAAACAAAAGTCGGACATGCAGAAAACTAGTTAATATTCGATGATGAGATAAATAGCTCGCTTCAGTTCAGTCAAAAATCGAAAGCGTGAATTCTGACTAACCTGTTTTTTCTGAAAGGTTCTGCTGACCATTGTTATCACTGGGTTCAGATCTTCTGTCGAATCCCAACAAATTTGAAATAGAAAACCCTGCGCTAGGCTGCTCGGCATTCATTTCTGCTCAAGGGTTTCGTTTTCGGGGATAATTCCGAAGACAGGCTGTTATCTGTAACTGAGCGAGGTTGATCGATTAACTTGCTTTTCTGCGTCTACAGCTCACGGGCAAGCCACATTTATTCGTTTTCTCTCGTTGCCAATATCATCCTTTGTGCGAGAGTCCTTTAACAGCATTAAATCAATTAACAGGGATTTGATTGAAAAGGCATTGTAGTATCGTGCCATAATTGTTGGATTTCACTTCATTCAATGTGTGACAGTGGTCCGAATGAAAGGCATTTCGCTTCCTCTGTGTTCCAAGGCTCTAATAGGCGGGGCTGTATTGACAATTAAGTAAATCAAGCCACCGTAATCAACCACTGTAATCAACCAATTAAGATGTAAAAACCGTGACATTTGACTGGCTGTAAATGGCCGTAATTAGCAATTCTTTATTTTCTTTTTGATGACAGCATTAGCACATGGGTCTGATTCAAGGTGCCAATAAGCTCAATGGTGGAATAATTTGCTTGTGGCAAACGTTGTATCGGAGTTCCGGTCCAAACCTATCGACATTTCTCACCGCAGGTCTGCATTGCTTCATTTCTACATTCATCAGGAAATTCAAGTTTCTAATTTATTTTTAACGAGGTGTTCGTGTGAAACGACTCCAAGAAACGTGAGTTGAATTATAAAATAATTATCATCGTCATTTAGTAACAATTTTTCTTATATGTTCTTTTGCCTCGCATATCCGGCTATCTTATACTCCAGGAATGTTTTATATTGTTTCAATTTCACGTATGTTGAAATTAGTTATGTGATCATTTCAATATTTTCTATCTCTTGTCGTTTCATTATTTTATACCATTATATCAGCCATATTGGGTTAAACATTCACCATTTTTTACGCAAACTAATTGCGATGTTCGTATCCATGGAACCATTATGACATGATCAGATTAGATTTCTCTTTACGGTTGATTTTGAACAAACTGTGACAACACTATTAGTGATTGTACGCGTAAATATTTTAATGTATAGATAGTCATCTCCAAATATCACTGAACTGAAAAAATTGATAGCCTCTTACTGAAATGTAGTTATTAGAAGAAAGTAAACGAGCTCTACTCCTGCTGGGAGAAATCGGTCAGTATCAACGAGTAGCTTGACTGAATATAAATTTATTGCCATAGATCTCATATATATCAACAAAACTAATCCTACAAGTATGTAGGAAGTTTGTCATATTCGAACCTAGTTACACTCTTTTTTTTTATTTATAGCATATTACATGTAAGAACATGTTTTAAAGAACATACCTCAGGCTGAAATTAGTAAAGAACATTTTACTCCACCCATTTATACAATGAGCAGTGTAAAGAAAATATCACATGATGTAACAGTTTGGTCTGAGCAGTGGCTGAGTAGTCCAACTGAATCCAACATGGTCGAATACATATAGCAATATGTCGTAACTAACACGAACAAGGTCATAGGTTCGACTCCTGTTGGGAGAACTCGGAAATTTTTTTCCGAGTAGCTTGTGTCACTGACTGATAAACATCTTTCTCATAGTTAAAATGCACCAACATTTCTTTCCATACATATCTCGCATATCGACAAAAACTAATCCTAGCATTATGCGGGATGTTTGTCACACTTGAACCTAGTTATATGGCTAAGCTCCCACGAGTCTCCTGTAGCTCAGTGGTAGAGCGTCCGACCGGTGTGCAGAAGGTCATAGGTTCGACGTCTGTTGAGAGAAGTAGGAAGCCTTCTTTCCAAGTAGCTTGTCACGGTCACTAACTGAATAATATATTTCTTGGTGTGTATTTTCAAGTTTAAAATTAACCTTTTTTCCATAAACGAGCTCTGTCTAAATTACATACTGACTGCATCACGTGCACTCTTTCTTTTTCACAACCAGTCCCATGAATTGTGCAAGTTTATTTCGAGTGAAACTGCAAAACGTAAAACTAACTCAACAGGAGATGTAATGGGACTGTGGTTCACCGTTAAATCTGATATGCAAAAAATCTCCATCTTTCTGCTGCTTCGACTTTCAGCTACACAATACGAAAATAAATATTTTGCATAGCAAACCAATATTTATGCAGCCTGGAAACATTCGATTAGTTGGTCGATTACTGTAATTGGGTGGGTAATACTACGTACTTTGCCTATATGTTAAGAACTCGATTTTCCAGAACGGTCACCTTACACATTAATGTAAATATGATACAAAGTTCTTATTTGACAAGAATCCCTTTACATCTAGCTCGTTTGTTCAAGACGTAAATAGTTTTCAAGTTACACAGATTTCAATATTTCTCTTTTTATTCAACTCAAGTTGGAGTGCACGTCGCTTTCTCAAGAATGATATACTTGAGTTTTGTTGTCCATACATCTAACGTATAGTTAACATTGTAATATAATTTTGGATAAAACACCATGAAAAGGGTGAAAATGTACAAGAGGTGATAACTCTAACCAACGCTGTTTCGGAGAAAAACACTGAAATATTTGCCTGGAGTCAGCTAAAGAAATTGCGAGGAATCAGGAGACTTGAAAAAAAAAAGGAAAACTAGAAATAATATATCTACTGCAAATTTCAAAAAAATATTGGGAACATCATATACATAGATTTGAAAAAAAAGCGTTGGAGAATGCTCAGAAATTTTGTCAACATGGTTCTGCTCAAACAGTGTTTGTAAAGCCTGGGTCAAACCATCATTGAAGACCCAGGGGCAGTGGGGGCGAGGGAAAACTGAACTCGGCAAAGAAAAGTAGAAGAGTTCTCTTCTACTTTTTTTGTCGATGTTTTTCCCTCGTCCCCACTAACTGCCCCTGGGTCTCCGAGGGTGAAATTCTTCTTGAGAGTCGCCGAGAGTTTTCTCTCGTTTGGCCCACGCTTAATGTTGAAAAAAGCTCTCGTCCCTCGATTTCCTGGACTCTCGTTCTCGTTTTGCTCGGAGTTTAGTTCTGTTGCCAACCTCTGTAAAATGTGTCGTGTCGAGATTTTTGGCCAGATGGATACAATTGCTTGATAAATAATTTTAAGTTACGAGATGTCTCATTAATTAGATATTGTTCAATATCCATATTGAATTTTTGACACAAATATCGGAGTCTTGTGGCAAATATCAGTATTGGTGACGTCATATAGCCGGGTGTTAATGTCTAACCAAAAACATATTGGCTTAAACAACAAAGGTTTGAAAGGCAAAACTAATTGGATTGACGTCAATGTTTATAAACAGTTACCTTCCAACGAAAGGTTAACCTAAAACTATAACTATATTTTGTATAAATTATAAGATAATTAACTTAGCTTGGAAACACTAGCGTTGTATTATTTTCGCGAATGGCCGACCGACGCGGAAATGATTCAAGAACTTCTGATTGAAATAGCAAAACGAATAATTTTAAAAACCTTTTATGGACCTCATCAGTTTATGAACGTTGTACCCTTAACAATAGGTAAACGAAATTGAACAACAGTAAAAAGTTATTCGAGCGATTTTCTATTGACTGTCATAAAAGCCACACCCATGTATACCGAGTGTATACCGTGAAATAAAAGCAAAGATTAATAATAATAAATAATTAATAAGATTTCCATTAACCAATCAGGACTCAAACATGCCACGCACACGAGTTAGGAGTACGATAGACTGCGAGCAGTCTCTATTTTTCGCTAAAGATCGTGAGGCGAGCGCACGAGAACAGCACGATATGCGAGCGGCGAAGCTGCCAGCCGCGAGTAGCGCGGGCGCTACTCTTGCGCCCGCGCTACTCGCGGCGAGCGGCGAGGGATCGGCACGCTCGCCTCGCGATCTTTAGCGAAAAATAGAGACTGCTCGCAGTCTAGGAGAAGCGAAAACAAAACCTGTGACAAGCGCGGTAGCGGGAAAACATGTAACCTGTGGCAAGCGCGGGAAAACTCGTGTATAAAGGCAAACCACGATTGCTCTTGTTTTTGTATCTGATTGGCTAAGAAAACAATATCTTCGTTCTGATTGGTTAGAGTACTTTACAAACGTAAAACGCGCGAGGACCTGTGCGTCACGTATTACTAATCAATAGTTAGACACTCAATGGAGTTAATTGATTTACTTGGTATTTAAATTTTTATCACAACGATATTGGCGGTTATATTGGGACTGGATGGCAATGGTGACAAATTTACGCTCTGATATCACAGCGTTGAACCATAGCAACTGTCGCGAGTGTGAATCAACGAAAATGTAAGAAAAGCTTGGTATCAATACAACATTTGCCACAAGCAAATGATTCCACCATTGAGCTTATTGGCAGCCTTGAATCAGACCCATATTCTATAAAGGCTGTAATTAAAAAAATCGATTTTTGTTTATCAGAGTTCCGGTCCAATCCTTTCGAAATTTCTCACCGCAGGACTGCATTGCTTCATTTCTACACTTATCAGGAAATTCAAGTTTCTAATTTATTTTTAACGAGGTGTTCGTGTGAAACGACTCCAAGAAACGTGAGTTGAATTATAAAATAATTATCATCGTCATTTAGAGACAATTTTTCCTTAGATATCCGCGTTGTGTACGTGATTTCTCCGGCTTTTTCAGACTCTTTCGCCTTCCATACATATCAGGATTTTTCACAAATTTTATCAAATAGATTTTACCAGGATTTCGCTGGAAAGTTAACACAGCAAAAGTGAAAGAAGACCGGTGTAATAAAATTAATTCACTATCCAGTTGATAACGATATATTGTAATATTGAAGTCTAACGAGTAACGAAACCTGATTAGCCTGTACATACGCGCGAATTTATGTTAGCAAGGAAAATATAACAAAGATAAACGAGGCGTGATCCAGTATAAACAAAACACGGCTGAAATACGGTGGACATTGACCGGCTTTCTGTATTGAATTTAAACTTGAAACTGATTTCCTGCAGAGGAAAGCTAAGAGATATAAACATTAGACACATTACGATAGCGTAATTCTTCAAAAAGGACGCCAAACATTGAATGTCGGACCTGTAAACTACATCAGATGTAATCGACATTGGAAGCCATTTAACAGCTATTTTGTTTCTTTCTGTTAACAAAAGTCAAAACTCGTTGATCAGTGCTTCTAATTCATGTTGTGAAAGCATTTTTGTAATCAGTGCACTTATTGGGAGCTGTTGGGCGGAGTAATTACTAAAACACTAACACCACACTGGACAGTACACTTTTGTTTTCGTTGTTCGCTAATGGGTTCTCGATTTCACTACCATTGTACTTGATTGTGCAGTATATGAAAATCTGAGTTAACAAGTGTAATTGTCTGCTAGAAAGTATTTATCAACTTGTGGCTTAAGCAATATAAAATACAATGCTAAGTTGTAAATTGAACCATCAGCCCTAAAAGTAATGAACATTTAATTTTCTTAGAAAGAAATGATGGTAGAATCACAATGAAGATATTGTTCAGTCAGTGACGCAAGCTCCCCGTGAAAAGAAACCCGTGTTCTCCAAACAGGAGTCGAACCTACGACCTTCCGCACACCGGTTGGACGCTATAACACTGTCTCCTGTCTCCTGTAGCTCAGTGGTAGAGCATCCGGCCTGTGTGCGGAAGGTTACAGGTTCGACTCCTGTTGGGAAAACTCGGAATTCTTTTCCGAGAAGCTTGTGTCACTGACTGAATAATATCTTTCTCAAATTTCTTTATAAACTAAACCCTCTATCTAGAAACTACTCCGAGTGATTACTTTCTAAGAATTTATGAACATTTCCGTTTCAATTCTGTTGTCAATTTTTCATTCTTTCAAGCATTTCCAGCAATTAGAGCTCCATAAAATGCGTTATTTCCTGTGGGATTCGGAAAATCTAGCCTACAACTGAATTGTGAAATATCAAAACGATTCGATTTAACACCCAAGCGCCCCTCCTCAAATTAACACCCCCATTTGAAGGTGTTTTAGACGCGAGCATGAAGCGCGAGCGTGAAGCGCGAGCGAGCGGAAGTGAGCGAAGAAGAAGGAAAAATGAGGGACTGCACGCATTTCTGTTACCGGCGTGTTCAGAATTTGCCGTTGTACGTGCCAGCTACGGAAAATTCTCATTGGTCCATAAGATAACGTTGTCAGATGAATTTTACGAGTACCTGCGGCTATTTGTGTCTTGGATTTTACAGCAATTATGGCTTCCTTCTTCTCCTTCGCCCACTTCCGCTCTTTCTGCTAAATAGAAATACGGACTACTTGCAGTCTGTATTAAGCGTACCTATTCTAATAAGCGCCTCTATTCCTATTCACGCAATCTCAAGCCAAAAGAAAGTCTGCGAGGAGGCTCATTGCTTACTTTCACTCCCGTACATTTATTTTCTAGGCTTATAGCCCTATCATGATCCATGCAAATGGAAAAAGAAGAATAAAATAGATTTAATTTGGGATAAAGAACATGAATTTTATCACATACTTGCATGGGATGGTACAAATTTCAAAACACGCCGCCGTTTTGAATGCCCGTCGTTTCCGTGGCGTGGATGAAAACGGAAACCTTTGAAAACGCTGATGCCGTTTTCGAACGTTTCAGTGTGGACCATAAAAATAATAATAGTAAAATAACTCTCGCTATGTTTAGAAAGTAGCAACAATTTGAATAATGAAAATTTACATGTACAATATGCAAGTGAGGTTAGAAGTAAACCAAATGTCAACATATGCCAGTCAGTAATGTTCAAAGCTGTAGTAATACTGCTAAAAATGATGCAAATGACATAATAATATTACTGATC